GCGGAATACAAGGGACCTTCCATCCCCTTAGTCGCTTGCACAGAGGGCAAGTTACAATCCAAAGCTGGGGTATTTAATGGCTATGTCCTCTGATTACAGTACTCCTGTACTACTCCCTGCTTCTGCTGTTGATCACTTATGTAGTGCTTAGGGTGACCGGATGTCCCAATTTTATAGGGACAGTCCTGATATTTGGGGCTTTGTCTTATATAGGCACCTATTACCTCCCAGCCCCTGTCCCTATTTTTCACACTTGCTGTCTGGTAACCCTATAGTGTTGCAAGAAAAAGATGGTGAAGAAACAGAGCTGGCTGTAATGGTGTTTCCTTACACAGATGCATTGTTCTCTCTTTGCTTTCCTCATCCCCACTGTTCTTGCTTTATTTGAAATTTTAATCCCTTTACCCATGGAAGTACTGACCCTGATGCATTAATGTCAGTTTAAAAAAAAAAGAAATTAATCAGCTTAGCATGAGACTGGATTACATTTTAATTTTAATAGTGCTAACGTCTTTAGGTACATTTTGCAGTCTCTTAATTTTAGCAGGTCAGAGTCTTTTTTCAGTCAGACTGTCTGAATGTAACTTTTTTAGTGTGGCAACCTGACAGAGCATTGTCATTATGCACTAGGTCTAGTAGTGGTCTATATGTGCATTTTCATGCAGTCATATTGTCTTCATTAGGCACAATGGCTAAGATGGGGCAGCTGGGTCCTGAGAGCAGATTCATCTTTCCATTAGTAATTAAGGTAGAGATTTAGTCAAAGGCACAAAGGGGCACTAGGCATCCAACTGGGAACTGGGGGCCTAGCTGCCATTTGTGCCTTTGAATAGCGGCCCATAAATAACAGAATAATTGTTAGCATTTTCTTCAGCTATGGGTTGTAGTGTCTCCAGAGTTCTGTGTAGCTTGCAATTATAATCATGATTAATGGCTTAATTTTACATGGGAGTCTTGAATGCTTATAATCTGCTGGAAGATGCCCTTTTACCTGAATTTCTTCAATAGCTAAAGACTGTTTTATATTTAAAACCAATTACAAATGGAGCATGTAGTCTTTTTTTTTTTTTTTTTGCACTACTGGAAGATGGGCATTAACTCTTATTTATCAGAGCTTGCAGGTAAAATGAAAATAATGTGAAAAGTTCATAAAATATCTCATTAAACAGAGTGGAATGATGATTTCAGCCTGTCCCATCCACTTGTGGTTTTAGCACCAAGTTTGAATATAGGAATTAACTGGGTCACACCAATTGTCCATCTAGTCTGGTATCTGTCATCCACACTGATCAATACCAGCTGCTGCAGAGTAAAGTGCAAGAAAACCCATAATGGACAATTATGGAATAAGCTGCCCACAGGGGAATGTTTCTTAACCCTTAGGCAGTACAGTAAAAGCTTTTCATCAATCTGACAGTGTCTGTATGTTCTTTTGAGTCTAATTTTGGTAGTTTAATATACAGTATATAACTACTAAAAATATGTATATTTGTCTAACATACGTACATGTCCCAACTACCATCTTTGCCTTTGTTATAAGGGTATCATTGTCTGTATAGGTTTGATACTGTGAGGGAAGGTTTGATACAGTGGAGTGAAATAAGGTTTCCTTTTTCTTTTCTTTTTTTTTGCACTTGGGCCAAGATTTTCAGAAATGGGTGCCTAAAGTCAATGGGACTTATGCAGCTAAATCCCTTAGATACCTTTGAAAATATCACCCTTAAGTAGGCACTTAAATAACTGGCCTAATTGTAAAAGGTGCCACAGGCAGCAGGTGATCAGCACTCTTAAAAATCAGACTATTTATTTAGGTGTCTAACTATGGACTTGAGTCTAAGTATAGACACCCATTTCTAAAAATTTTGGCCATAGGTTCTTGCAGATAGAGGTTTAAATGACACTATCATCTCGCAGGTCAGTGAAATCTTTTACCTAAGAGAAACGGATGGTCAACTGTATTATTAATTTCACCCCTCCTTTTAGGATTTGCTCTTGCGCCCTGTCCTGTTCATTTCCTCCTTGTTGGCAGGCAAATACAACACAGTTATTACAAATGTGTGTGAATCACTGATGGCTTGTTCTTTATTTGCATCTATTGGTTAATATAATAATTAAAAATCTCAAACAAGAACACGGCAGTGTTCAAATTAACTTTCCGTAACGATCAAACTCTCTCCTTAGCAATTATCTGGGCTGGATAGTTGCAGCGGCTAGAAACAAATGTAGATATGTTACAGCAGGCACATATCTCCATTACACATGTATGCATACATACTAAATAAGCTAAACTTAGCCTCCTCAGAGGAAGTTTATTAGGTAGCATATAAGTAAGAGAATGTCAGTGCAGAAGAATGTAGCATCTGAATAACTGTTTCCTACCACCCGATAAGTTCTGAGGTGAAGATAAGACATTTAATAAAAATAAATGTCAAAGTAAAATCAAGATATATATATTTTTATAGCAGCAGACATTATCCAGTGACAGAATTCACTTAAATATCTTGGGCAAAATTTATCCTCGATGTAACTCCACTGAAACCAATGGCATTGCACCCATAATAAAAGTGGCCCATTATCTCTGTACTCCCAAATGACTCATGTAGATTAAATCATTTTGTCTGATAGAAATTGGTGTTCAATTTGCCATTATTGATCAATTGCACTCTGAGAACAGATCTGTAGTGTGCATTAATAATAATACCTCACACTTTCATAGGACCTCCCAGCCAAAGATCTTAAGGTGCGTCAAAAATATTAATGAATTCAACGTCTCATCACCCCCCTGTGAGGTAGGTATTATTCCCCATTTGACAGATGGGGAAACTGAGGCACAGAGAGGCTAAATGAAGTGCCCATAGTTACACAAGAATCCTGTGGCTATATTTGGAATAAAATCCAGGTCCCTTGCTTCCCATTTCTCTGATTTAATCACACGACTTTCCTTCCTCCTCTTGTCTTACATCAGCCAATCAAAGAAGAACTGATCCGTGAAAGCATTTTAAAATATAACACTGGTTTCTGATTGGCTAAAATTTTATTTTAAAATGCTAATACTCGGAAATGCATTTGATTAAATAAGGAATTACATCTCTATTAAGACTCTGTGGAATAGTTCTATAGTTCTTCTTGTATAATAATGGTGGTTGGTTTTCATCTCGAACAGCTATTGTGAAATGTATTCTTTACATCATTGGAACAACACCCTGATCTGTAGCATAGGAAAGAGGGGGGAGACTGGGATATAGGAATATGCTTTCTTTGAGATATTGGTGCATTTCTTGACTTCTGTTCAGTTTTAGCTAGGGATCTTAGGGATATATTTCCTCCTTTATGACAACACAAATCTCTCATTACTGACATACACATGCAATGAAGGGGGAATATATTTCTTAGTTTGTTTCTTTAATCACTTTCATTTAGATTAAATCTAACGTTGAAATGTGTTGCAATTTAAGCAACAATAATTGAGGCACAGGATAAATTCTAGGGATTGATGATAGGCTAGGAAGAGTTTACTCCAACCAATCACTAAATCCCTGCAGAAAAGTCAAAACTGCTATTGTAAACTGAAAATGTAAAAGCCCAATAAGTATGTAGGGAGTATTTTCCTGTAAGTGGGATTGCTGTTTCATTTGGTATGTGTAGGGTATTGCAAGAGACTTAATGCTCTGTACATTATCTGTACTATTTACATCCTCTCTGTCGACATTCTAGTCAGCGGTATAGTTTAATCATATTGTTGAGTGATCTTCCAACTTCAGCACAGAATCATCTGAGTTCAGGTCTGACCACCCTGGTATGCACCAACATGCCACCCAGGTGCTCTGATTAACGACATCACTTCCACAGCTCAGCACGCTTGGGCATTTTCCTTAAGAAATAAGGAAAGATTAAATGTGACCTGTTGCAATTTTGTACAAAATTCTATATCTTCCTCTCAGCATTACTAGCAAAGGAAGAGGAGACAACACTCTGTGAAGCATGGAATGCCATTTATAGAAGCAAGCGACTGGTCTCTTGAGCAGCTACTAAAGAATAATTTAGACTTTTATGCCAGTTACCAGAGTCCAGCTCATGAAGTATGACAGTGCTACTTATGGCCACATTTATCTTTAAAATGGAGGTGCACCTATAGAGACAACGAGTTCCAGCATGCAACTTCCCTCTTGCTCCAAAAGGCCTAAACAATAGGGCAAGTATAGAGTATAGCTGCTCTGTTGGAGAGAGAGTGCACTGCATGCTGGGAAGTATTTTCTCTGTGGGCTGCACTTTTCTGTTAGAAATAAAGGCAGCCCTTGAGTTCCTGGAGAGGTGCCAGACCTCCCCCTACACTGTTCTCTGCTTTGAGCTATGAATAGGGCCCTACTAAATTCAAGGTCCATTTTGGTCAATTTCACGGTCATAGGATTTTAAAAATCATAAATTTCATGATTTCAGCTACTTAAATCTGAAATTTCATGATGTTGTAATTGTAGGATCCTGACCCAAAAAGGTGTGTGTCTGGGGAGGGACGGGGATGGTTGCAAGGTTATTGGAGGGGGGGTTGTGGTACTGCTACCCTTACTTCTGTGCTGCTGGTGACAGTGGTGCTGCCTTCAGAGCTGGGCACCTGGAGAGAGGCAGCTGCTGGCTGGGAGCCTAGCTCTGAAGGCAGAGCTGCTGCCAGCCGCAGCACAGAAGAAAGGATGGCATGGTATGGTATTTCCACCCTTACTTCTGCACTGCTGCCTGCACAGCTGGGCCTTCAGTCAACAGCTGCCACTCTCCAGCCACCCAGCTCCGACGGTAGCAGTGCAGAAGTAAGGGTGGCATGGTATGGTATTGCCACCCTTTCTTCTGCGTTGCTGCTGGTGGGGTGCAGCCTTCAGAGCTGGGCACTTAGCCAACAGCCACTGCTCTCTGGCCGCCCTGCTCTGAAGGCAGCGCAGCAGTAAGAGTGGCAATAGTATGACTCCCCTAAAATAACCCTGCAAACCCCCTGCAACTCCCTTTTGGGTCAGGACCCCCAATTTGAGAAACTCTGGTCTCCCCTGTGAAATCAGTATAGTATAGGGTAGAAGCAAACAAAAGACAAGATTTCATGGAGACCAGATTTCACAGTCCATGACGCGTTTTTCATGGCCGTGGATTTGGTAGGGACCTAGCTATGAAGAAAGGAAGCAAAAAGACTAGCCACTCCTGGATAAACTCCCCAGTCCTGTACACTAATCAAAGGCTCCAGCTGGTTACCTTCCACCTCCGTTAAAGGGAAAAGCACTCATGGTCGATTTATTGTACTCCAAGGCCAGTTTGCAAGGAGTGAACAGGCTTATTTAAACTTCCAAGCTGTCATTATAAACGAGCTCCAGATTTCATGCTGCCCAAGTTCCGGAGGTTTCTTTGCTTTACTTTACCATTTCTCCTAATTTTTAATTAAAAACAAACTAATTGCCTAGACGTGGTAGAGTGAATTCTGCACCCAGGCAGCAATCCCACTTACGTAATGGGAGGTTTGAGTAAGGATTGCAGAATTTTGCCTGATGGCTTGATGAAAGTATATCCTAAAAAGATGCCATTTGTTTATAAGCAAAGGAAAAAGAAAAACAATGGTCTAAAGTGAGCTCTGTTTTCATGTAGCACTTTCAAAGCTAAGCTATTAAGGAGCCTAACCGTTGTCTATTTTAGGCACCTCAGCACAGCCATAGGAACTCACACTTTAATCCAGCAGCGGAGCCTGGGTGATTCTTTTGTGGTAGTTTCCCTGGCCTAGATTTCCAAAGGCATTTAGGAACTTAACTCCTATTGAAATCAATGGGAATTGGTACCTCAATCCCTTTGAGGATCTGGGCCCCAGTGCACATCAGGCACTATCAGCATTGCCCAGTGTATATATATACAGTAGCTGTTGCACAAACCAAGAGAGCAGAGGGGAGATGGGGGTCAGGTGTACAGAGTAATTGACACACCAAATTCTCAGGGAAGCCTTTGGATGAACGTGCCTGTTGCAGGATATATCCAGTGCTTTTTGCTCCACAGGTACAATAGGAGAATTGGTTTTCTAGCTTAACAGCCAAACTGAACTTTTTAAAAAAAACACCCACTTAGTCCTGTAAAGGGCTTCTGCCTCGGTATGTCTAGCAAAAGACAGACCAGTATATCAAGTTAAAAAATATATAGGTGCCTGGGAATATTATTCTTGAGTATTTATCAATCGCATGAGTGTTCTGGATGATGCGCAGGCCAACATGGCCTTTCAGCCCTCTCTTTCTCGATGAATTAGATTCATTGCTCATGGCCAAATGAACCACCATTTTGTCTTGTTTTTCTTCCTCAATCACTATCTGGCTTCTTGTGTATCCTGCCAGGCTGTTGGCATCAGATTCACTGTAGGTTCCATCCAGCATCATGGTTTTTGTATTAGGTATTCCACATGTACATGGAAACTGAGAACAGAAACAAACAATAGTCAAACACTGAACAAAAATACTAGAGGCAAAGACGATACCTTTCTTTTTATGGACAGCTTGTAAAAACTAGAGCTGCACACAGGGCTGGCTCCAGGGTTTTTACTGCCCCAAGTGGTGGGGGATGTGGGGGGAAGCCGCGATCGGCGGCACTTCGGTGGCAGCTCCACCATGCCGCTCCATTCTTCGGGGCAATTCGGCGGCAGGTCCTTCCATCCGAGAGGGACTGAGGGACCCGCCACCGAATTACCAAACGTGCTGCCCATCTTCATTGGCCACCCCAGGCACCTGCTTGCTGTGTTGGTGCCTGGAGCTGGCCCTGGCTGCACATTATAGTTCAACTGTGATATGTTTCTCTATTAAAGCTTAAGTTTTCTGAAATGAAAAGTTGCTGACTAGCCATACTGGTTGCAACTTTATATTGTGTCTGGCTTGGTTTCTGAAATCCTATGTGGTAATTAGGGATGGGAAATTGGTTTGATTGAAATTAAACCTGACCAGAAGTTTTTCCCAGTAAATTCAATTCCCTCTGGCTGCTTTTCCTTTTCGTGTTCCTTTTCATGTTCAGTTTCTATGGATACTATAGCGCAAGAGGCAGTAATATTTGTAGAAACAGCATTTTAAGCAAAGATGAGAAAAATATTGACAGAAAGTAAGTTTTGATGTCCTAAATGTAAGTATTCCCTCTGGAAACCTGATTCTAAAGCTTACACATATCCAGCCAGAGAACAGGAAAAATATCTGGGGTGGAACTCATCCCACTTGTCTAATCAAAACAGCTAATGCCTCTGGAATTCTAAATAGCAAATACTCATAAGCACACTGCTCATGAACTGACCAAGAATAATTTGGCAAATAATTGTGGACAACAAATCAAACTGCTCACAGACAATTCATAAACTGGAAAAAGAGACTATTGTCTCTGTTCCAGTTGTAGCAAAATGATGTGGCTGGTCAATGCACATGGGTTCAAGTACTGTCACAAGAACTGTGGTATTCTTCAGACCTAGGCTACATCAGAGTTGTTCTAAATAGTTTGTTCCCATCAGTGATGGGATTTTTTTAGAACTCTGTATGACTAAAAACCAATTTACACTGTGTTTATAACACATTTTATACTTAGCTTGAAGGCAAGTGTAAGTAAAGGTGGAACCCATGATCTTTTAAATGTAATTTTATTTTTGTCTCTCTTTAAGCAGTCACATGATATTCCTTAATCTCAAACCCCCATCACCCCCCCCCCCCCCAATATTATAGGGGAGGATTAAATCAGGATCCTTAGCATCAGGCCACCCAGTTGACCAATCCAGGACGCAATAGTAAGCACCAGGTTGCTACAGGCCAATTGCTGCAGGACCCAAGAGGAAGAGAAATACTGTTGACCCAGGTAACTCTTAGCCCCCAGGTCAGATTATGATTTGGCCTAGGGAAGGCCACAGACAATGACTAGGAGCTGAATGACTCTGATTTGTTTAATAGGTGTTGTATACACTGCCAGGTGTCTAGGAAGATAGCAGGAGGAGAAAGCAAGCCCAAAGTTTAGATGGTTCTGGTCCCAACGTAGTCTTAATCCATCCCTGATGTATTCCCATGTACACATGTGCACACACTCATACAGAGAAGAGATGTGCTGAATGACTTCAGGCCACCATACTGCCACAGTCCATTTCTGGGGAGAGCAAAAATCCAAATTTGGATTCCCCTGGGACTTTCACAGCTGAATGGCATTGGCTAACGAGATCAATATTTATTCCAGTGAGAGACAATAGTCTCTTGTGTCTCTTAAAGAGCCCTCATTCCACTCAGACACTAAGCCACACTTCCCTATAACCCCATTAGAGATAACAAACACACAATTTTCTTGACCATCCTTAATGATTATTATTGCCTTGTATCTGAGGGTAAAAAAAAAAACTTTTGATGTGTATAATCAGCTTTTCAGCCTGCTTTCTTTATTGCATGACGATACAATTCAGTGCAGGGATATTAACAATTGAAAGAAAATTTGTGACATAAATGATAAATTGTGCCATCACTGAACTGTCCTCTTTTTACCATGGTGACAGATAATGAAAAAACTAATGATATTTTACTTGCCATAAAAATGACCTGCTCTGGGTCAGTAGAATTTAGCAAGGCTGAATTATTATTTATTATTTGCTAAGCACTGATGATGGGGTCAGAGTTTAGACAGGACGGAAAGAGTCTATGCTCTACAGATCTTATAATCTAATAGAGAGGCACAGATACAACAAGATACATTGAAATACCCAGAGGAGTTGGCAGGCTTAAGTGAAGCTTTGTGTGTGTGATAGTTTTCCTGAATTCACTCTCTTTTCCTCTAAACAATGTTGGAAGGGAGAAACCATTAGATAAGCATTTGTCATGGAAACAATGAGAATATAGGGGGGATTTGAAAGAGGGAGGAGCATTGGATTGGCATGTCAGGATTTGGAGGTTATTCTATACATAGAGTGTAGAATGGGAGGAGGCACAAAGTGATGCTGTTTAAACTTGATATAGAGGGAACTGGTGGAGGGATTCAAAAGTAACATCATTGTCCAATCGTCAGGCAAGCAAGATAACTTTTGCAGCTGCATTTTGGACAGATTGAAGATGTATCAGAGAGAGGATTGCCTCAGTAATCAAGGTGGGAGATAACCAGGGCACAGACAAAAAGAAAGATCATATTTTTTAAATGGGAAGGAAGAAGTGGCATGATTCAGGAAGAGGAGGGAGTCAAAAATGACCCAGAGGTTCAAATCCTCAATCATTGTTTGGAAGGATGGTGATTTGGCGAATGGCAATGGCGAAGGAAAGGAGGTTTAGGAGAACAAATAAAAAGTTCAATTTCAGCAATGTTTTGTGAGATCTGGCAGTGAACTGTCCAAGGTATGTTGCAGAAACACTAAGATATGCAGGCCTGGACATCAGAAAACAGGGCAGGCTGAAAAGCAGATTTGTGAATTATCAGTGTAGAGATGATAGCGGAAGTTGTATGAATAGATGAAGCCACGCAGTGACAAGATGTAGAAGGAGAAGAGAAGCGCACCACAGTTAGAGTCCTGTGGCACTCCTGTAAAGAGCAGGAGAGCCACCAAGAGAGTATAGGTTCTCAAAAGCCAAGGGTGGACAGGATATTAAGGAGGAGGCAGTATATTGTGGGGTACAGAGAGGTATTAGATAGACTGTAGTACTGACGGTTGGAGAGGGCTTATGGAGAAGAAGAATGGAGCAGAATACATTAGACTTGGCCAAGAAGAGATCATGGGAGACCTTGGTGACAGCAGTTTCAATGGAGAGGATGGAAACCAGAGTGGAGTGAATCCAAGACTGAGGTAAAAGAGAGAAAAGGCAGTAGTTGTGAGCAGCTTCTTCAATGACCTTAGCAGTGTCAGGGAGGTGGAATGGTAAATGGAGAGAGAGTTGAGGGATACTATTATTAGCATGTTTGTGTAACTGGGAAATGATGGAATCAAAGGGACAGCTGGAGGGATGGAAAATAGAGACTAAGTGAGACCTCAGACTTCATAACTGGGCCAAAGGAGGAAAGCTTATTGATGGCCAATGGACTGTGGCAGAATAGCATAAGGTGAAAGAAGCTCATGAGAGATCTTGAAGATTCAGGACTGAGGAACAGACTGACTAGAGAAGAGACAGCTAATATTTACACACAAACTCTTTGGGATACCAACCATGGGAAAGGAAGTACAGAAAAGGTATTCATCCATTAAATGGGCTTTCAGTGAAACATTTTTTTAAAAGATTCTTTTAAATTACCCAACAGCATGAGTGAAAACCATAAAAATGATCCATTTAGCACCATGGCCTTTCATGGCACATTAAAAGAATAAATATAAAGATTGTTTGTTGCTCAAGTGTGTTTTGTGCCAAGGAACAATTCTACTATTACCTTTATTGAACCCAATTTTTTAAATGTACCGGATTGTGAGTTAGAAGTCTTTAATTCACTCAGAATAATTCATTAGCTGTAACTTTAAAAATAAATTGTGGTGACCACAGGGAAATATCAGTCTGGATTTCCCCTTTCTTACCCTCCACAAATGGTCTCTGCCAAAGTCCCAGGTTGCAAACATCCCCAGTTCTGATCTTTGTTTCGTTCTCTCTTCCTTTTGTACAATGATCAAAAGAGACCAACTCCTGTTTTTGTGGTGTCAGCACTTCCGTGTCTGCTTCAGCATTGTAGACAAATTAATCACACACCACAAATGTCAGAGTTTTCCCATTCCTTGTCCCAAAACATCCAATATAAAGCACGTCACGTGTAAAAAGATTGTCTCTCACCTTCTCTCGCAACTTCCTTTCCTTCCGTTCTTGCACTGTGGTCAAATAATTCACTGCTGCGTATTCCAACACTGAGAGAAAGACGAACACAAAACTGACCCAGAGGTAAATGTCCACAGCTTTGATGTAGGAAACTCTAGGCATGGAGGCGTTTACACCAGTGATGATTGTTGACATGGTCAGCACTGTGGTTATCCCTGGAAAAATCCCCACAAAAATGTACTTCATATGCCAAATATAGTTCAGAAGGCATCTACTATTAATTAGTTTTGTCTCAAAATACAGTACTGTCCTCAGCACCACTCATAGCCTATAGAAATGATTTATTGGGTCATCTTGTCTAGCTGCCTCACAATGCAGGATTTTTCCCTACACTGCGTTCTTGAGCACTCTGTCTAGTCACATTTTTAAATGTGATGGAGCAGCCACCACTTCCCTTGTGATTCTCTTTAACTCTCTAGTGTTTAATTAGGAAGTGATGCTTCAGCCCTAACCTATAGGGACCGCTCATTAGATTGAGGAAGTTGTTCAGCCTAGAATGCCATTTAGTCATTTTTTTCCTGCTTTAGCTATCATCCAGGGTGCCAGTGGAGATAAGGACTCTTGGTTCACTGAAAGCACCAATTTGTTTTACCCAGTTCACCAAACAGCAGTCAATGACCAATGACTTTCGGTCACTGCTGAAGTGGACGTGACTGGAATCATTGTCTCAAAAGCTGAAACCCATTTATGTTAAATCCTCTGTGTGTGTGTGTGTGTGTCTGTGTCTGTGTGATGTGACAGAAAAGCCCTCGTGCTCACCTTAGCTAAGGTGATTGAAAAGTTTTTAATGGCATCCACTTTATCCATAGAATAAATTTTACAGTTAAGCAGGTACTCTGTGGTGATAAAAGTAAAATACTTTCCCTAATTTTCACCAGTTTGCAATAGCCAGTTAACAATTGAGTGACAGAGCCAAAGAGCATTTGTGTGACTTTAATCAGGTCATTCCAAACTAGAGAAGTCCTTTCACTTGAGCAGACTCCGCTGCTTTTTTCAGATGCTTGTTACTGTATCGCAAACTATGGGACTAACCTGCTATTTTTACTCTGTTTTTATAGGAAGTCATATGCACTCATATTCAGAGAGATACACTAGACTTTTTATTACATCTCTGTCTCTCTCTGACCTAGGCATTAATAACTGAGCACATCTGTTTCTTTTTTGTTTTTTAAACAAAAGAAATGTCAACAGTCCTGAATTAGACAAAACTCATTTATTTAATGCCCATTTCAGGACTGTTAGGTTGGGCCTATAATTAGAAATCTTGATTCACTAGTTCACAAACACTGGAATCTCTTTTCTCTGCTTCCTTCTCTTTTTAAAATACAGTTCCATCTTCTGCCCTGATTTAAATACAGATCAGGAAGATTTATCAATCATGAAGAAGCAATTCAACAATGAAGAACATAAGACAAAGTACAGACCTTAAAGTACTTTAACTATCAGATAAAATACATATGTATTTTCCTAGCATATTTAACAAATGAAACAGAGAATTCCCCCTCCCCCTATTCCTCCAAATTCAAAGGTTTTGTCACATTCATGGTTGATATTAATTGCCCTCACCTAATGACACTCTAGCAGGTACAGCTCTGCGATCAATCCAGAAGGACACCCACGATAGCATGACCATTAGAGTGGCAGGGAAATAGGTTTGGAGCAAGAAGAAGAAGATGTGGCGGTGTAAAGTGAAATTTATGTACAGTCTATTGTACCATCCTGTTGGGAGGGGAAAAAGTGTCATGAAGAGCATTTTAATGACACATACAGAGCTGCTACATCTTTCAGCAAATCATATTTACTTTATAAGAGTAGACAACCTATAATTGTGAATATATACAGGGGGAGGGGGAATTCTATATTCTTCGCATCGTTCACAGCACATAGACTGTAATGATCTATAATCCCAAAGATGACAAGGGCAAAGGGAAAGAGACTATTACTCAAGTACTTCTTATAGAAATTTCATTTAAATTTCACCTGGCAAATGTTTGACACTGAACTATAAATATATGGCAATGACTCAAAAGAATAATAAAACCATTTTAAGAAGAATGATACCGGTGCTACTGTAGAAAGCGAGTCTGGAAGTAGTATGAAACTTTTGTATCAAAAACTGAGACAAGGAAATCTTTTCATCAGTTTTCAGGGATTCATTCCCATTTTTCCAGTAAAGCATCAGATCTTCATCAGTGTAAGCATCTTCAGAAAAAAAGAAAAGAAAAAAAGACACAATGTGACTTGGCTTTAGGATATTTCATGTAAACAGTCAGTATAAAAAGTAACTATGTGTGGATAAGGAACATATTAGTGAGATTCACAGATGATTCTAAGGCCCCAATCCTGCATTGTGATCTGCATGGTGCAGGGGTCCATGTTTCATGGACTCTGGTGCATGATCAGGCTCTCAATTGGGGAACATCACAAATGCTAGTGAGGACAGACTAATAATGCAAAGGGTACTAGAGAGGTTGGAAGTATTTGTGGAAAATAACATTGAATTCTGTTTGAAAAAAATGCAGATGAATTTATCTGCAGAAAATAACCCGAAACACAGATATATCTTTGGAATGCAGTAATGCCAAATAACTCGAGTTTTTAATGGACAATAGATTAAATAAGGATCTTGCCAGACGATGTAACGTAGCAGCACAAAAAGCCAAACCAAAAGACATCACGTCATGTTCCAGGTCCGCCTTTATACAGCACTGGAGTATAACTAGAATTGTACATTTCTAATCACCACACTACCAGAAAAATTTAGACAAATTGGTGGAGATTCAGAGATGAACACCAGAATTGATTAAGGGGCTGGAAAGATGGGTTTATGAGGAAAGATTATAGGAAGTAATTATGGTTAATCTGGCCAAATTTAGGGGGAAAGTGAGAGAGAGCCATCTAAAATGTTATTTGAAAGATGTAATTGAAGGTGAGAGGTATCACTGTAGGTAACAAATCAACAAGTATTTGAAGGGTATAAACACAAAAGAGAGAGGAATTATTTAGTATGCTATGTGAGCATAACGAGGGAGAAAAGGGAGGAAATTTAGCAAAGTAAAATTTTGGCTAAATATCTGGCGAAACATCAGAACAATTAGGTAATTGGTCTTGAGAGACTGATGAATAGTCTCCCAAGGATAGCAGTGGAAACACTGTTGTTTAAAACATTTAGGGCTGGATTTACAAAAGGATTTAGGCACTCAATTGCCACTTTAGGTGCCTCAATCCCAGAATCAGGCCCCAGTGGGATTCACAAATTCACCTAAAATTGCGCAGTGCCTAAATTTTTCCAGTAAAAGTCCCCTCAACACTTATGTTTCTGCCTTTGCACCTGTGCACTGCAGCCCCATGCCAGGCATCCAGACGTCAGCCCTAGAGTGACGCATGAACCTAGAGAAGATAGGCTTTCCTTTGCCTAACTTGCTCAGACCTACCCAATGAGGCCCGTATAGACAGGTTTACACAAAACACCGAAGGAGGAGAAAGAGGATTTCCCTCATAACTTTTTAGTCCAGGGGTAGGGTGAGCAGACAACCCTTTTTTAAAGGGACAGTCCCATATTTAAGCCTTCCTGCAGGTGTCCCAACTTTTTCTTAAAAACAGGCAAATTGTCCCGTATATTCTGTCTCTCCACCGCCCCCATCAGTACTGACGGGTCCTGCTGCTGGATAGATGCCTGCTCGCCAGCCGTCCTCCCACCAGTGGTGAGTGGGGAGGGGGTGTCCAGTGACCAATGATGGGGGTGGGAGTGCAAGGCTGGTGGTGGGGCAAAGCAGCACGCAGGGCCAGCCAATCCCCTGCTGGTCCGTCAGCACAGCCCCTGCTGCATGCCAGTTTTTGGCAAACAGGGCCTGCCTCCCCCTCCCGTTTCCAGATGGCACTGGCTGCATGCTGCGAGCTACGGTGGCTGGTGAGTGTAGGCAGGTGCCAGGCAATGGCCAGTTACATGTCACCTCTGTTACCCATCCATCAGCCCTTTATGTGCTCCCCCTCTCACTGTCCTTTCCTTGCTTTGTCCCTTCGTCCCTCCCCCCCTCCCCCACTGCTCTTCCATATCCCCATCGGTGGGCATGTCCTGCTCCCAGCACTGTGTGGAGAACCAGCCCCTGGTCAGAGCACTGAGCTCACCAGCAGCCTGGCCAGCAGGCTCCTTCCTTCCCCCACTTCCTCTGGCTGGGCTGGGGTCCCGGGGTAGCCCAAGACCCTCCAGTTTGGGGTGCTGGCCAGGAGGAGGCGAGCCCTGCATGTGCCAAAGCCCCACACAACGCTTGTACAGGGAAGTCTCTCCGCCCCTCAGCTAAGCTCTGGAGTGGCGAGGGTGGGGAAAAGCGATTTGCCGTTCATGCCCCAAACCTGCAGGTTCCACAGCAGCCCCCAGGGGAGGGGCTTAGCATCCTTTTGACCCCCCACCCTCCCGCCCTGGGTCCTGCCGCCACAGAGCATGGTGCTGTTCCGTCCCATTCCCTAGGCACCCTGCACTGCTGAGCCATCTCTCTGGCCAGTTCGGTGAAGCCCCTGCAGTCAGGTTCTCTGGGCCCTGGTGCACAATGCATCCGTAGGGCTTAACCCCTTCCTGCCCACGCTGTAGCTGGCGGGGACAGGAGGCAGCTGGGTTATGTTGTTGGCCAGCAGCAGCCTGGAGGTGTTAGCTGCCTTTCAACACTGTGCAGGCAGGAAGGGACAAGCTGCTTCCAGCCATGGGAGGGTGGGAGAAGAAGAGACGAGCTCTGCAAAGACAGGAGCCAGGTCATTCCTTCCCCTCCTTCCCTCTGCGGCTGGAAGCCGCTTCTGTCCCTTCTCTCCCACACAGGGCTGAAAGGCTGTTGCTGGCCACATTCTGGTGTGAACCCTGGCAGAAATCTGGGGGGGGGAGGGTATGTGACCCTGTATGCCGCACCCCCCACACTTATTGCCTCAGGAAGATGCAGCACCAGGTACCAGGAGAGGCAGGTCTGTCCCGGGGGCTCAGCCAGGCATGGAGGGCAGAGCGTGCCAGGCAGGAAGGGTCGGGTGGGTTGGTCAGTTACCCCCCGTGTGAGAGAGGTGTATGGGAGTGTGTGTGTGTCACCTCTCCCGTGTGAACCCTAAAGCCTTAAAGATAAGAATGTAAATAAAAAGAATCCAGCTACGCAGTATTTCTTAACGGGTGCTGTCAACTTGATGTTAATTTGAACGTTTGTACTGCATAGTTCTGATGGATTGCCGTTGAACTCGCTTGAATAGGAGTAATTTTACCAAGTGTCCCGTATTCAGCATTAGGAAATATGGTCACCCTATCCAGGGGATAGGACACTCACCTGGAATAGAGTCATTTTCAGTGAATAAGGAGCCTACATGCCTAACCCAGGCTTTGTAAATCCCAGTGATTTTCTAGGTACCTAAAAGTTTCTTTGTGAATCTAGCACTTAAGCATGAAAGCAACTTCATGCCGCTGGTGAGTCCCATTAAGTTGAACTGAATTACCCAAGTTGAACTCAGTGGGACTGCTCATGTATTTCAGTACTTGCAGGATCAGGCCTATCGTTTGTAAAGCACGTTAGAGTCTTTAGGGATGAAAGGTACATAAATTGAAAAGAGAAGCAATTATTAACTGTCCTCCATGATGGTTTCAAACATCATCTTCCAAACAGAGCCAACCAACACAGCAGAAATTCTGAGTTTTCCCTCCAAGCCAATGTGTTGTAATAGTCACCAGCCCATGGAGTAGGACCCTAGTTTGACTTTTGTGGTTTTTTCTTTGTCATCTACTAAAAACTCTCTCTCACACACACACACTCACTCACTCCCTCCACAAATAAGGACCCGATCCAAAGCCCATTGACTCAGTGGAAAGACGCTCATTGACTTCAACAGGCTTTGACTCAGGCCCCAAAATATTATTTTTCTTTATTCTGAAGTATGTATAATCAACCAATGCGTACAGTCAGCTAAGGGGGACTTGCAGCTAAGAACGTCTATACAACTTACAGCTTTCCAGCTCCAGAGAACAAGTCTGTGAGTCCAGGGGAAATCGACTGAAGTCCATGTTGCACATTGCTGTCACTGTGATCCTAGAAATCCAAAGAGGAAAGGTCACTTCCTAAAAGAGACGCTATAGTCCAGAGAAGGTAGAGGAAATGTGTCACGGGGCACAGAAAATATAAAATTTAAATATATAAAAATCATTTCCCAGCTTTAAAAACAGAAACTATGTATTATGTGTTAACATAAAAGAACTAAGAAACTTCCTAGTCAGGTACAGAGGCCCTGCCCTTCAGATATAGACATGGTTGGATGTGCACAGGCCATGTGAAGGTTTACACCGCATCTGTACGCTCATGATTTCCATGGTTGGTGTGGAGCAGTTTGGCTCCTAGTCCAGTTAGAGTAGCTTCCAGGGACTGTTGTAATAGGTTGGGGCCTCTGAACACTACTGCAACTCAAACAGCAAACAATAATAATATTTTTAGTGTATTTGAGTGTGTTTTATTGGATGTCTGCCTTATATTAAATTGGTTTCTTATAAAAAAAAATATTTCACTGGGTTCCACAGTATGATGCTTCCTTTATGTCCCGTTTCCTGTTCTTTCCTTATTTTGCCTTCACTCCACCTCAGTCACTACAACAAACCCACCTGAGTTCCACATGCATAAATCAGCAACAATAGCATGAAAGGCACCTCGATCTATTTACTATTAGGGGAAAGCTGATTTTTTTAGTGCTGGATCAATCTTGTTTAAACTGTGAGGGCTGATTATTACTGGTGGAATGGGGGGCAGCTATTTTTCCAGTAGTAAGATTTGCCTCTGTTAAATTCACACCTGACCTCGGGATCTGAAACAATCACAGCTTGAGTTTATAAATCTGAATCTAATCAGCCCTAATGTTACTTTACCAGGGAACCAGGTGGTTTTTTTCTCATGAACTGATTTGAAGTGAGGCTCTAAATTCAGTAGGGACAGTCCAGTTGTGAGTCATCACTTTAAAGTTTATAGTCCTGTTTATGCTGCCTCTGACTGCTTCCCTGGTTCATTTCAGATGGTGACAAAGAACATTTCTGCTGATCAAAGGGCTACGGGCCAAATTCTGCCCAACCTACACACCAATCACCCCAATGACGTAACTGGAGTTGTATTGTTTATAAACCAGAGCAGAACTTAGCCAAAGCAGATTTTTGGAGCTCAGACAGTGCTGCTATCATGGTAACAATTTCTCATAGTTCTCTACAGTGTTGTCCATCATAGTTAAATACTGTATAACTCTGTGTCATTACAATCTGACATTTTCTTTCCTAATACATGTAGTTGTTAACAATCCATTAGTCAGAGAACACAGAAACTCAACCTGTCAATAAGAGATCCCCTCGATTAATGTGCAGTATAGACCAAATGGTCTTGAATTTATAAGTCCCTAATGTGATTTTGTGAACCCTGCTTCTATGCATACTGCCAAAAGACCACAAGGAGAGTATATTCATGCTGCCAAGGTGCACGTTTACCTGATCTTAATCTTGTGATGATATTGTGAAGCAAATTAAAACAATGTGTCCAGTTTTTTTATCTGCTGTATGTTGAAACTGATGAGCAATAGGTCCTAAGAAAAATAATTATTTTATTAAAACAAATGTGCATTGCACATGTCATTCCCTTATCCTGGGCTACTCTCTCTCTCTCTCTCTCTCACTTAGGTACTTATATGGCCCCTGTTGCCCGAGCATCTGAGCATCTCATGAGCTTTATTGTATTTATCTTCCCCAACACCCTTGTGAAGTAGGGAAGTGCTATTATGTTCATTTTACAGATCAGGAATAGAGAAACTAAGGCCCAGATTCACAAAGGTACTTAGGAGCCTAAACCAGACTTGGGTGCCTAACTCCCATTTGTAGGGTTCACTATAATCCACAAAACTCCTTCCTGGCTGCCACCTAACCCTGTAGGTGCCTAAATTCACTCAGTGCCTAAAGTTTCATTATAAAAATTCCCCAGTTTTTGCCTCTGGGCATGCACATTGCTGCTTCACTCTAGCTACCCAGATGCCTATCTCCCCTCTAAGCCCTAGAGCGATCCACAAACCAGGGGAAGATAGGTGGAGGATTACCTAACCCACCCATAAGGACTGATTCAGTAGGTCTGCTCTAAAGCTGCTTGCTGGATTGGGTCCCATTCAAAATCCTCATGGTAGTGAGAACGATGAGATTACAAGCTTGGTTGATGAAGTTAATAGTGTTGGTGTAATATACACCGGACCCTCGCTAGAATGCGCCTCTATATAGCGCGAATTCACATATAATGCGGTCGCAGCCATGGATCCCAAATTTAATTACTTTAAATGCAATTCCTTTTAACGTTGTCCCCGCGTTAACACGGTACCGTGCATGGATCCCAAATCCTGCGTTCTAGCGAGGGTCCGGTGTATTTAGACTTCTGTAAGGCATTTGACTTGGTACCACATGACATCTTGATTAAAAAACTAGAATGATATAAAATTAAAACGACACACATAAAGCGGATTAAAAACTGGCTAACTGATAGGTCTCAAAATCTAACTATAAACAGCATAATCGAGCATGTTTGTTTCCAGGTGGGTCCTGTGGGATCCATTCTGGGCTCTATGCTATTTAACATTTATATCAATGACCTAGAAGAAAACTTAAAATCATCACTGATAAAGTTTGAAGATGGTGCAAAAACTGGGTGACTGGTAAATGATGAAGAGGACAGGACACTGATTCAGAACAATCTGGATCACTTGGTAAATTAGGAGCAAGCAAACAATATGCATTTTAATATGGCTAAATATAAACATATATATCTAGAAACAAAGAATATAGGCCATAGTCACACAGTGGGAGACTCTATCCTGGGAAGCAGTGACTCTGAAAAAGATTTGGGGGTATGGCAGATAAACAGCTGAACGTGATTTCCCAGTGTGACACTATGGCCCAAGAGCTAATATGATCCTGGGAATGATTCATAAACAAGGGAATCTCGAGTAGGAGGAGAGAGCTTATCTTACCTCTGTATTGGCTGCTGGAATATTGTGTTCAGTTCTGGTGCCCACAATTCAAGAAGGATGATAATAAATTAGAGATGGCTCATAGAAGAGCCATGAGAATGATTAAAGCATTAGAAAACATGCTCTGTAGTGATAAATTCAAGGAGCTCAATCTATTTAGCTTAATGAAGAGAAGGTTAAAGGTTGACTTGATTACGGTCTATAAATATCTACATGGGGGGGAAATATTTAGTAATGAGCTCTTCCATCCAGCAGAAAAAGGTCTAACACTATCCTATGGCTGCAAGTGGAAGCTAGACTAATTCAGACTAGAAATAAGGTGTACATTTTTAACCCTGAGAGTAATTAACCATTAGAATAATTTACCATGGTTGTGGCGGATTCTCCATCAATGACAATTTTTAAATCAAGATTGGATGTTTTTCTAAAAGCTCTGCTCTAGGAATTATTTGGGGAAAGTTCTATGGCCTGTGTTATACAGGAAGTCAGACTAGATGATCACAATGGTACCTTCTGGCCTTGGAATCTATGAATCTATAAATTTGGTGCTTCTTCTTGCTAACCAGGATACACTGTATCTATATACATTTATTTAAGCTATGATATCGTTTAACTTACATTTATTCAGATTCTTAACTTTTACATTTTTTGTGTTAGAAAATGATCAACAGTGCAGTTCCTATATATTAGATGACGATTCATTTTTGTGTGTGATTTGTGTCAAGCTCTTTGGATGGAAATTCAAATTAAATTTAAAATTCCCCAAAATAGCATTTTCAATTTTTTTTTATTTGTTAAATAAAACTACATTAACTATCCTGGATCCATAAGAAAAATACAGCAAGTTTACTAAAACATGTTTTGCATTTAAAACCAACTAATTTATTAAACAAAGGAAGTATTACCTGTAGTTAGTGAATTGAACGGATTGTTTCTGGTCATCAAGTCTGGCGAGATTTTAGAGCTAGTAGATCTCATTCTTTCCCATCTAGTTCTTATTAATAGATTTGAAGAGGCAAAACAAGCTTTCCTGTTTTTTCAATTTTCATTGTTTTTTTTAACTTTGAATTAGCTAGTCAGTGAACTGTTGAATAAACGGAAATGAAAAAAAAAATTCTCCCTGCAACTGCAGAAAAGGCTACTTGCTGTCAAAAGTTGGATTAGCACTTCAACAAATTCTGGTTTCAGGTGCTTCACCAGTGCCTTCCAACAGGTGAAGTGGGTTGACTTTCTTTAAACCTTGCAAGCAAATATATCCTGCTTAATATTATTATTTTTATTTAATTTAAATTATTTCAATAGATTATTTTAACTTTCGGCCTTAACATAAATTGTCCTAATTTTGAATTTAATTTTAAATAAGTGTATTTAAAAAAAAACCCGTATTTAATTTACATTAAAAGAAATCCCATTTAAATCAAAATCCAATTTAAATTTAAAAAATCCAATTTTTAATTAAAAAAAAAATCAATGATTTTTATCGACCTTGGTCTAAAGGAACTCTGAAAAGCCCTGCAGCCCTTGGGTTCTCCTACCTATCTGGGTCGTATTTTCCAACACATACTTATCTTATCCATCTGGAGGAACCCAAGTCCCTGATGCACTACTGGGGTGTTGCCTCAGAATTCTTTCAGCCAGTAATCTGCCTGAGAATCAGCTACTATGGTACATCTTTTAGCAGCCACTTCAGCCTCAATTAACTTTGGTTAAAGCTTGGTAGAGATGTGCAACTTACCCCAGAAAACAAAGAGAATGGCTGTTTTTCTAGCAAATATGAAGCAAAAATTGATCGTTCTGGACGTCACCATCTGGTGTACTGCAGAGCCTAATTTAAAGCACATATTGACTGAAAGACAAACACTCCTGATGCACTAAGCTATTCTCTGACCATTGAGGGTTAGGAGGCTACTTTCCTTGGGAGCAGATCATCCTATAATCTCTTACCATGTGGATTCTTGCATTTTCTTCTGAAACACGGTACTGATCAGTGTTGGAAACAGGACACTGGACCAGATTTTTTAAAGACCATTTTTAAAAGACCATGATAAATTTTGTACAAAGTATGCCTTGTGAGGTATCATTTGAAAGCTCATAATCTACAGTACTAAACATTGTCCTGGTAAAATATGTGTATCAACATTATATATAAAGTTATAAGATTCTGCTGTATAACATTGCTGTAACATATTCCAGAGTTAGAAAGGCCGGCCCAAACCAGTTTTTCACGGACAAAAGACACACTGGCGCCCCAGCCAAGTATCAGCATAATCAGATGAACTATTACGAACTATCATCTAGGTAAGAGGCCATTCTTTGGCAGGAAGAAGGGTGTGAGCAAACACTTTATATATTGACAATGGAACAGCTGGGGGTTTACATGTAAACAGACTGGCTGTCACATGACCCCCAGCTGGAGATAATCCTCAAAGAGGGGAGAAGGGTATAAGAATGAGAAACAGTGGCCTCCAAATCACCTCACTTCCCCCATCTCTACTCACAGCAGCTACAACAATTGAAAGCCAAAGGAAGCATCATTGTACTGGGGGAGGGGTCCTGGCCTTTCAGCCACTACAGACTGCTGTAAACCTATGGTAAGACAAAACCTTGGTTTTCAAGCCATTTAGCTTGCTAAGTTAGGTATTAGTTTGCATATTATCTTTTATTTTCTTTGTAACCCATTCTGACTTTATGCCTCATTACTTGCAATCACTTAAAATCTATCTTTCTGTGGTAATAAACTTGCTTATTGTTTTATCTAAACCTGCCTGTGTTTGGATTGACGTGTTGGGGAACCTCCACTCGAGATAACAAGGTTTCTGCTTATCATTTTCCATTGATGAAATGACGGACTTTATATGAGCTTCCATTGTCCAGTAGAAGAGCTGGGCAGTACAAGACGCACATTTCTGGGGAAAGGTCTGGGACTGGGAAGTTTCTGGTGTCACCCTGTAATGTAATTCATGAACGGCTGGTCAGAGCATTCATGTAATTCAGCTGGGAATTATTTTGCATGCTAGAGACTATGTGAGAGCAGGACCAGGAGTGGTTTCTCTCACAGCAAAGCAGTACAAAAGGCACCTCAGGTTGGAGATTTGAAGGCACACAGCTGTCCAACAGTCCAGATTATACCCTGGGGAATGTCACAAGGGCAATTCTTATCTTCAGCAAATCTGACTCAGAACAGAGTTGGGCAAACAATAAATGGCTGTTCACAGACAGTGAGTTAGATTGTGTGGTTACCTCATACTATATAGCACATGACCATCTGGGAACACTCGCAACATGATGTTGTCAGTGGTTGTGTCATGAATGAATGATCTTTTGGAGTGCACAAAGAAGACATCTGGAACCCAAATCTTCTTCACCAGCCTGCCATCAAAGGTCATGCTCTTGTTAGTGATGCTAGGAAATGAGAGGCGTTCATCCTTCCAGTAGTGCCTTAAGTACAGTGTCATAGTAAAGTCCTGCACCAGAAAAAAAGAGAACCATGAAAGAATGCATCACAATGCTGCCTTCCAAACATTAGAAAGGGAATCATCTATTGTTATACTAATATGTCTCATACAGATTGAATCTCTTCTCTGCTAAACATGGTTTTCTTCCTCAGACTAATTCCACAGAACAGTTTCCCGTAGACATGAAGCATTCTGGGAAAGTTCCACAGCCCATACGTTTTTGTATGCTACATTACAAACACCCTAACAGAGTAACATGCAGATATCAATGCAATCCCGCCAAGTACAACAATGCTAATACAATTTGTAGCAGGTAATCCTTAGAAGCTATTAGTCTATAGGACACATTGAAATTCAACCTTCAAAGGAAAATACATATCACTATATCAGTACAGGCTTTTTGAATCCTGACAGCATAATGTCAGTTAAAGGATAATCATATACCCAGTCTGCTTGAAAAAAACAAAATCTTGTTCAAATTAGCTAAGGTATGAGTCTGAACACTGAGCAATGTATCCTAGAGAAATAATCATATTATTGCCGTATTGGAAAACACCTGCAGCAGCATGAAGAAAAACATCTGTTTCTGCCATTGACCCCAACCTGGCAGCTGCATCTTCTTAAACTAAATAACCCCTTCATGCTTAGAGATTAACATGTAATTATTTTTATAGTCCCCATTAAGCAATTTGCTACAAAAGTAGTTTCAAAAGCCTTGCCTGCCTGGTCTGGAGTAAGAGCAGCCCACACAGGTTTTTTTCCCAATGGTGCAGTAGTTGTTAAAAAAACTTACTAAGAGCATGTTTGAAAGGACTCATTTTTACACACACAATGTTGAGATGGTGTGGTCACTGGCTGATGTCATCTTAGTCTCTTTTCCCACAAAGCAGTCAGATTATCATAGACGCAGTAGTAGCTAACAGTTGATGGATTAAAGGTATCTGATTTAACGGACCGAGAGCTAATCTGGTTGAGCAATCCCTATGGTCCCACGGCACTACTAGAGCCAGTCTAATCTATTGCAGCTTCTTACTTACTAGCTGGGAGGAAAGAAGGTGCCATCTGTAACTGTCAGAGGCAAAATGATCAATTTAGGGCTGCAGTTGGTTATCTTTCCCAAATTTAAAAGGGTGGGCTACCAGGATAGCATACTAAGAAAGGTTCTTATTAAAAGGCTAAACCTATACTAGCCAGGGGCCCTATTCTCCTGCTACAGGATACAAGGATACAATTTCAGTGGGAATAACTCTCATCCTATGGTTGAGGAACAATGCCCCAGGCAGTCAGAGAGATGTAGCTCGAAGGAAAAGGGAGCAGAATTCACAGCTTTCTGAGGGGCAAGGACCTAGGTCCCCAAACTTTTTATCTCACACTCCCCTCCCTAGAACTGGGGCTGGGAGTGGGGACCCTGCTCTGGGAAGGGGAAGACACGGACAAGGTAAAGGGGACACAGCTGGGACCGGAGCCTAGGCCAGGGGCTAAGGCCGGCAGCTGGGGCCAGGACCAGGAGCGGAGCTGGGTGGTGCTCTCTCCCTGGCCCGGGCCCCAGCCATGCCACCCTGAATGTTCCTCTGCATCCCCCCTAGGGGGGCATGTCCCACAGTTTGGGGACCTCTGATCTAGATGAAAGTCTTCCTGGGTAAAGACTAGCGTATTATTTAATGAGCTACCTAGGGCATAGTTTTACTATATTATCTTGAAACAACAGAGATCTGGTTCCTCTGCACTGGTTGCTTTCTGTGGGTTTTCCACCACATCGTCACCCATATCCCATAGAAAATCCCTGCTTTCAATATCAATGCTCACAAGCCAAGTTCTTATAATGAGGATCCAACTGTGGCTTGATAAAGTCCAATCAATCTTTCAATTCTTATTGATGGAGGAAATTATAAATTGTTTTGTATCGGATAGGATACGAAGCAAGCTGTCCTCAGCAGTATGTTTAACACTGTAACTACAACCTAAAGGGAAAAATTCTAGCTTTAGGTGTGATCCTCAGTTTTTCAAAAGAGAAAATGGCTTGTTTTCTCATTTTGTGATATGCCCCCTTGTACAGCAAAGCCAGAACGATGGTGGCACAAAAGGACTACAGGACAGTAATATTAACAGTTTATATTAAAGACACAAATACTGTGGAGTTTAGATGTTAAGCTAAAACCCTGTCCTTAGCCCTGCAGATTATGCCTAGATTCTACACTCCATGATAAGAGGAACAGTGAGGAAGGGGATAAAGGGAGAGTGGAAAAGAGAAGATTCCCTCTTTTTTCCTCCTCCTTTCCCCATTTCTTTTTTTCTCCAGTCTTTTTGATCCATCTTTCTCCCGCACATGGAAGCTAAAGCAGGAGACTCAGAGGATAGCTCTCTCACATACACCTTTTACTGCCAGTAACACTTATTAGTTGATAATTGGATCCACATTTCTTTCCTTTTAAAAAAACACAATAAGAATAAATTACAACTGAATTTAGTGCTGTTGCTAAGCTCTGGAGTGACATCACTGGTGACTGAAATCTGGTTGTCCATCACAAATTCAGCATAAATAGAGGCAGAGTCCATTCTGAATTGGAAGGCCTGCCTCTAGAGATGAGAAGGTAGGAAGCAGCTTGTTTTGATTTATGATACTAATTAGTTCTTCTAATGTTCCTCACAGATCCATACATTTAATAATAGATTTTCTGGTTCCATAATAAATTTAAAAATAAGTAAGGCTTTCATGATCCTCACAAGAGTTATTATAGCTACCTGAACCCAAGTGACATGAATTTCACTATGCGGTACAATGAAATGAGCACAGCAGGCAATTGTTCATATTCCTGACTCCTGTATATCAACCAAGATCATGCTCATTTACTTTTCAAGGTCTTTGTTCCCTTGCAATTTTAATCATCTTTATCTCACGTCCTCATGATGACTCTTTGAACAGTGTCTATCTTTATTAAGACTTTAATTCTGATTATGGGCCTTTCAAAATTGCTAGAAGTTGTTTTTACTGCATTTGCCTGCATCTGACAGATAAACTGAAACCCAAATATGGGACTTATCCTGACTAAGAATAATCAAAGGTTTAAAAGAGTGTTACATACCATATCGACCTCAGAAATACTGTCCAAGCTTTCAACCTGTACATCTACCCCAACAGGAATGGCAGGACCTGTGGTAGAATGAGATTTAAACATTTAAATACTATCCTTTTACATCATCTGACTTTAGTTACCTTTATAAAATACAGTAGTGTTCAAAACATTTTTGGTCCAATGTTATAATTTCTTGTACCTGTGGTTCCTTGACGAGACAGCCAGAATAATAATCCCAATATCTTTTTTTCCCCTTTGCATGTCTCCAACACTGACTCTACCTGTGTATGGCTCATCCATAGCGGGGGTGAAGCATTTTGGAAAGGTTCCTAATGCAGAGCTAGCCCATTATAAATCTTAGTTCTTTATAAAGAAATCCCAACAAAGATACAAGAAAATAAGAGGAAGAAACCACAATCCTTGAGATTTCACTTTGCTAATAACAAAAGGAATGAAAAAAAAAGAAAACCCTCACAATGTGACAAGCTCCATTCATCTTGTGTGAATTTTTGAGAGCTCTGTCATTTTCTGGTCTCAAATTGCCATGTGTTTCTTTGATTATTAAACAATAGTCACTTGTTGGAGACTACTTTTAAAAAGTTTTCAGTCATTCCAAAATGAACAGCCAGATACTGCACAAAGGATAAATAAGCATGAAATCATTCTACAATAAAAGCAAACTCCCTTGCTACTAGAAACTATACCATTTTCACAGTGGACAATTACTCTCATAGGGCCAATCCTGCTCATCTTACTCATATTCCATTTTACACCCTATTTTTTAATAGATTTTTCTTTCTCCTCTTCTCTCATTCCTTTGTCCATTGTGGATAATCTCTCCTCTCCCTCCTTTTTCCAATCTCTCCTAAACTGAATTTGAATTCAAAGAAGTTCAATCTGAATCAAACTTTCAGTATTCAGGTGTGCTTGAAGTCAGGTAAAAAGTGCTCACCTGTCCCTAATTTGAAGTCGCTGTCATTATGCAGTTGCTTTAGTTGTGCTTTAGAGAATTTGATGTTGTTATAAAGCCATATCTTGTGTTCCAGGCAAGGACTATGACACCTCCGTGTTTGTATAGTACCTAGCTCAATAGGGGGTCCGGATCCTGATCTGTAAGTGCTACTTTTATATCAATATTAAATAATAATATAATGACATCATCATGAAAACTAATTCCAATAGCAAGCACTTTAAATAATATACATTTACCAAGACAACTAGAAAACCTCTGTTCTGAGAATGCAATAGGGCTTTTAGCTTGCAAGGTATCATCTACCCTACTGCCATTTCTGCTGTGGCACACGGACTCCAACGTCTGTATCCATTTCTGTTGTAGAAAAGGGGAGTTCACACAGCAGCAGGTGCTTCAGTAGGATAAGTCAGCACAGTATCAGCAGGGCATGAATCCAGGCGGATTACCACGACTGGACCACCTGCAATGATATTGCCAGTTCTTTGACACATCCCACTGTTGTACAATACAGTGCAAAGGCAGGGTTAAAGGAGCACTGCAAGTGGCATAGCTCACCTGTTCCATTTATATTGCTGCAGCCTGCTACAGTCTTCTGACTTCATGCAGTTTTTCAGTAGCTGTGGTGTTCTGGAGAAGTATAGCAACAGTCTGAGAAATATTAGCCTGACTGAGTTACTGAATGTGCTAACCTTTGGACAAAAACACGTGAGGTGGAATTTCATGTATGTATTTGGGGCTTGATCCTGAAAGGTGCTGAGCAGTCTGACCACAACCAGCAACATATTTCAACATGTGCTTACCTTGAAGCATTAGAGTGGGCCCATTGAAGCAGAAGGTACTCTGCCCTGCCTACTGTGTTGAGGGGTTGCAGGTGGATCCATGTAGTTGTGGATCCACTAGCCACACATGCCACTCATTCCCCCTCCCCACAACTTGCCTTCCTCAAACACTTTTCATGATGCCATAGAGGAGCCCAACAGATGACAGCTGCATGAGGTGAGGAATGCACTGCACAAGCTCCCCACAGAATCCCAGCTTGCAACTGTACTGGTTTTCATAGAATCATAGAACTAGAAGGGATCTCAAGAGGTCATCTAGTCCAGTCCCCTTCACATATGGCAGGACTAAGTATTATCTAGACCATCCTGACAGGTGTTTATCTGATCTGCTCTTAAATATCTCCAATGATGGAGATTCCACAGCCTCCCTAGGTAACTTATTCCAGTGCTTAACTACCCTGACAGTTAGGAAGTTTTTCCTAATGTCCAACCTAACCCCACCTTTCTGCAATTTAAGCCCATTGCTTTTTGTCCTGTCCTCAGAGGTTAACGAGAACAATTTTTCTCCCTTCTCCTTGTAACAACCCTTTTTGTACCTGAAAATTGTTATGTCCCCCCTCAGTCTTCTCTTCTCCAGACTAAACAAACCTAATTTTTTCAATCTTCCCTTATAGGTCATGTTTTCTAGACCTTTAATAGTTTTTTTTTTTTGTTCTTCGCTGGACTTTCTCCAATTTGTCCACATCTTTCCTGAAATGTGGCACCCAGAACTGGACACAATACTCCAGTTGAGGCCTAATCACGGCGGAGTAGAGCAGAAGAATTATTTCTCGTGTCTTGCCTACAACACTCCTGCTAATACATCCCAGAATGATGTTTGCATCTAGGTTGTATTTCCCTAGTTTGTTTATGAGAAGGTCATGCAAGACAGTATCAAAAGCTTTACTAAACCGCTTCCCCCCCATCCACAAGGCTTGTTACCCTGTCAAAGAAAGCTATCAGGTTGGTTTGACACAATTTGTTCTTGACAAATCCATGGTGACTGTTACTTATCACCACCTACTTTTGTTGTCTTATGGGCCCTGGTGATGGGGCCAGGGAGGATTTGAGTTTTATGAAGAGGGAGTCATTAAAGGTGGAAAAGTATGGCACAGATTTTATTCATACTTGAAGGTTTAAATGTGCATACAAATGAATAGAAACAACGTAAGTGCCTAATGTCAATGGAATTAAGCAACTATGCAAGCCCAGTTCAGTCAGGGTATGGTGGTCAGGAGTCAAGAAGCCCTGTGAGCCCCAGTTCCCAAGCTCCCAATCTCCCTAGCTCACCTGACAGGCTGCCACAGAGCCAGGAAGCCTGGGAAGGGGGGACAGGAAACTTTTTAAATTCTGTTTTGGTTCTTCCAACATGACATTTTTTGAAAATGTCCCTCCCATGGAAAATTTTGCAGATCTGGTTTTTGACTCTGATTTGCAATTAATTTCTTTTTTTTTTCTGAATGAGAAATTGTCCACCGGACGGAAATCCCAGCTGTAGTGGCAGCACTGTTCAGGCAAGCTCATCTGCCTCTTAGTGAGAAAATATCTTTGATGAAATCTCTGCATATGTGAAGGAGAACCCATCCCTGTATTGGAAACAGAGACAGTGACTGTGCAACTCAAGCATTTATTTTTATATCAGAATCACCCCAGAATTCAAAATGCACTTAGACAGAGTATAACTTTAATAGCTGACAAATCCTTGTCTAGCACAACGGGTGGTGAGTAGCTCATTTTCTTTGAAAACAAATGGGAAAAACTTCCCAGATTATCAATCTGCCTACATTAGACTTTAAAAGAAGACAGGCGTGAGAAGATTAGTGAATAGACTGTTCTCTAGGTCAGTTACTCCCAAGCTGTGGTCTGTAGATACTTGGTGGTCCATGCAGAGCCGGCTCTCCTTGTTCCCAGCTGCTGCATTTTATTGACGACAGATAAGAACATATAAAATTCTTTCTTTATATTACTTTCCCAATTGAGAGATTCCTTTAGTGGCTACCGGGATGTTAAGGTGAATGGGAGGTGAGGCAGCCCACAAAATTTAAAGTGAGAGTGGAGTTGTTCACACTGAGTGCACATGTACAGGTTTTCCCAGTATATGTTTTTTTGCCCCAGTGTAGGTCCACTGGTGGTAGTGATAGTGGAAGCTGTAGAATAAGTGAGTGGCAGGTAATATTTCCATTGTTGCTACCATTGATGGAGCTGAAAAATGAATTTTCCTAATGTAGACAAGGCTTGAGAAATTGTTTAAGAACCCTTTCTCTAGGTCTACCTGTTTAATTAGTGTGGACATTGTTCACCCCTGAAAAAACAGGACTAGCTGGCGAGTAGCAAATCAAATAAGTGCATGCTAGCTAAGAAGATCCCTACATCTTTTCTGATCCAACTGTAGCATTTGCCCACACACCAACCACTACATTTACTGTGGGCTGGGAAGGAATTCATTAGCGGGAACAAACGTGGCACAATCACACCATTTTCTTTTTAGATCTATTTTCACTGTTTTCCTTTTTTAAGCTCTACTTCTTGTCATGTATTTTCCTTTGGTTTCCTTCACACTTTAAGGTGCTGCTGCTGACTGCTTAAGGCTGTTAAATTAATAGTTCACTACAGGCGATAGGAACATGTGTCCACTAGAAACTATAAAAAGCAACAGAGGGTCCTGTGGCACCTTTAAGACTAACAGAAGTATTGGAGCATAAGCTTTCATGGGTGAATGCCCACTTCATCAGACGTCTGATGAAGTGGGCATTCACCCATGAAAACTTATGCTTCAATACTTCTGTTAGTCTTAAAGATGCCACAGGACCCTCTGTTGCTTTTTACAGATTCAGACTAACACGGCTACCCCTCTGATACTTGACACTAGAAACTAGTCAGTCTCGTTAACCATCAACTCATTTCACATATACCGCCATAGTGAAATTTTGTAAAGTTCTGTTTTTGGTAAACTGTAATGGGGACTTAATTTTTTTTAAGTGCAAGTACTTTATAAATCAGCAGGTTTTAGTATTTTACTGTTTATTCAGCCTCTTCAATTGACTAGCTGTGGAGTCTAATAAGGTGAAATCAATCAATTAATTTGTATCATACATGTGGCATTTTAATATGTTGATTTCCCATTTGAAGTTGTTTATACTGGTTTAAACCTTGGACACATCCACACCTTATTCAACTCTGTGATTATTTAGACTATCAAGTGACCTAAAATTATTAAACACATTACTATCAAAAAATGTTGAATATTAAGACAAAAACATCTTTATAACATCGTAAAGGAATGCTC